AATAAATAAGTTATTCTTTAAAATTTTTTAGCTAAAATATAGTTGCATCACTTCCCCACAGGAAATTACAAGAAAGACCCCCAGGATTCCAGGAAGTTTCCTGTTCTTGGGCAATGGGTCTCACAGGTTAGAAGTGTTAGGTCCAGGAATCACTGAAGAAAGACCCTAGACTAAGATGGTATGCAAAAATAAAGAGTGTTTATTCTACAGAGAATTCCAGTATGCTGGGGATATCACCTTCACAAAATGGCAACGACCTTGAAGGGAGCTCACAGGCTTCTTTTAAAGACAGAAAGGTCATGTGCCTACATGACCTTGATTGGGATTGGTTAGTGTCCATGGAGGCTATGTGATTCTGATTGGGACTGGCTCCTAAGAATTAACCTTTCAGAGGCATTGTGTTTTATAGACCTCTTTGGCACAGTAATTTAAATTTAGAATATAATATTATCCATCAGAGTAAAATGTAGGAGTCTAAGTTTGATGGTACATTCTAAGAGGCTTACCTAATGATCGTGAGACTATTACAGTAGATACAAGGGTTAAAGGCAAATGGCTGTGTGGTGGTTTGAATAAAAATGGTCTCCACAGACTCATAGGGAAACCTTATATATTACCATGTATTACAAGACGGTGGCTTTTGTTACACATTTCATTATAAATTCAATTTGAATTGGCTGATCTACAGAGATTACAACTTAACACAGGAACATCACAAAACCAGACTTATGTTCTATTGGCTTTGAATCACTTCCTCTTTGTCAGAGGCATCAGAGGTCCCTTGAAGGAGCACAACCCTGTGTGTTGGCTGAATGGTTGGAATAGTGCTTATCCTGACAGGGGCAAGTGGATAGGACAGAAAACATCTCTAGAAGTTTAACACGGCTTTTCTAAAATCTATAGTCTAAAAGAAGCTAAATAACAAGGAAGACCTTAGAGAAGAGGCTAAATCCTCATTCAGAAAGGCAAACAGGATAGACATCGGAAGTAGAAGAAGACAGGGAACAGAACAGGAGCCTTCCACAGAAGGTCTCTGAAAGACTCTATCCATCAGGTATCGAAGCAGATGCTGACACTCATAGCCAAACTTTGGGCGAAGTGCAGGGAGCTTTATTGAAAAAGGTAGAGATAAAAACCTGGAGGGGCACCTGGAGGGACAGGAGCTCCACAAGGAGACCAACAGAGCCCCATAAATCTAGGCCCAGGGGGGGCCTGCAAAGACTAATGTATCAACCAAGGACCATGTATCAAGAGAACCTAGACACCCTCCTCAGTTGTAGCCCATGGGCAACTCAGTTTCTATGAGGGTTCCTTATTTAAGGGAAGCAGAGGCAAATCACTGGCATGAACTAGGTTGCCTGCTCTTTCATTACCTCCCTCTGAGTGGGTGAGGGAGTGCAGCCTTGCCAGGCCACAGAACAAGATGATACAGCCAGCCTTGATAAGACCTAACAGGCTAGGGGTCACAGAGTTGAGGAGGAGGACCTCCCCTATCACTGGTCTAGGGGAGAGGCATAGGGGTGAAAGAAGGAGGGAGAGTGGGAATGGGAGGAGATGATGGGTGGGGCTATAGCCAAATACAAAGTGAATAAATTGTAAATAAAAATAGTAATAATAATAATGAAAAAAAAGCATGACTTTCCTTATCTGATACCATCCAAAATCCTAAACAGGACACTTTCGGCTGTCTCATTGTTTTCCTAAAAACAAATCTTCTTCCCCTTTTTATTGTACTCACCTTGAAAGGAATAAAAAAAAATAATTTACTTCACGCCAAATATAAGCAATGATGGCTCAGAAATACTGATTCAGATTCCTAGTGTAACGTGGTCCATGTAAAAGTGGGTACAGAACAAAATCAGAGTCTAATCCTAATGACATATTGTCAAGGGCTATGTAACAGGAACAGCAAAACAGCTTTAGAACTCACAGAATGTATCCCACTGGTTAGCACAACCAATGGTTGTGCCTCGGAGAGGCAGAGCCCCAAGGACTACATGTCCTGACTGACTGTATGCAATTATGGAGAATCACTGTTTGTTCCCTTCACAGTCACCACATCCCTCATCACGTACGAGTTGTATGAAAACTGTAAGGGACTCTCAGTAACTGGGCAGCATCACCGACACTAACAATTTTTCAGGAATTGCTGCTGCAGCAGATGAATGATTCTCCTACCACCCTCAGAAAGAATTTAGAGATGTAGAATTGCTGCTGCAGCAGATTAATGATTCTCCTACCACCCTCGGAAAGAACTTAGAGATGTAGATTGTTAGCAATGAACACCGACCTTAGAAAGAATTTGGAAAAATAGACTATTAATAGGATTAGGTTAAGATGTTTTTGTCAGTAACTCTGATGTTGAAAATCTTAGGGAAAAATTTGGAGTTCAGAAAAGCACACTCTTTAGAGTTGAGCTGGGGATTTTTGACGTCAGGGAACAAGAGTAGTTTGACAGCTGGGCTGTTGATCAAGATAATAATTAATTTCTTGTTCTTATTTTTGCCCTCAGCTTTCTGATATGATTTAATGAAAAGTTGTTAGTGAGTAGATGTGCACTTTGAGGATTTAAAGTAAAAATGACTGATTGGTTTTTATATAAAGTTTAGACTTGTGATTCTTTTAAGATTCTCCTAAGATCACTTTTTAAGATGATTCTTTCCTTCTAACTGCAAATTGCTGTTGCCAATAAGAAAAACTGGCTGAAAAAAATTACCTTGTATATTTATACTCTATTTATCTCTAACAGGTTGCTTAGTTACAAATGTGTGTGGGTTCTTGGAGATATTTTTTCAGCTGTAATACGTAAACTGTTTCCCATGCAAAGGTACTGAGGAACAAACTGTTTTTCCATGATCATTCGCTAAAAGAAAAACAGAATGTAATCACATTTTCATTTTTATACTGCTGGGATATATAAGCTGTGGGAGAAAACACAAAGTTGTTGCAGCCTGTGGAGTTTCCTCCATCCACCCAATATGTGTATGTGTAGATATGTATAGATGTAAAATGGTTGGAGTCTTCTTTATCCACCCAATGTGTGAATGTGTATATGTATGTGTGTATGTGTGTGTTTGTGTGTGTGTGTGGGGGGGGGTATGTTTGAAGTTGTTGAAGCTTTTTTTGTTTCATCCACCAAGTGTCTCTGGGGGTGGCGGTGCATGTGTGTAAGATTTTTCTCTCCTTTTTTCCTTCACTGACTACAACAGCCCTGGCTCTTAGCAGCCAATTATAATCAATACCAGCCACCAGCCGCCAATTTCTATCAGTACTGGCCCTCAGTTGCCAATTCTACATCCCACCTCAGTTTACCCTGGATGTCAACACAACCACATGATGGCTCATAACCATCTATAATGAGACATGATGCTCTCTTCTGGTGTGCAGGCACACATGCGGGTAGGATGCTGTATAACTAATAAAGAAATAAATCTTGAAAGAAAAAAAGAATTGCATATCCTTACATAGCACCACAGCATGAGTTTCCACATCCTGTCACTTACAGGTCCTGTCAGCATGTTAACATCAGTCACTGTGACCATCACAGTTGAACATCCAGCAATTCCTAGAGTAGCCAAAAGAGCCGTCAACCAGGATGAAGTCAGAAGATTACAGCCAGACCACAGAGACACAAATCAGCTGTAGGCAGACCTGAAAGCAGGACACAGCAGGAGGAACTTGGGAAACAGTGAACTCTGCTACACACCTCTGGGATGACGGATACATGGTTTTTTACATTGACCTAAGTTTATAAATTTAAAAGTAAACTATAACCTTAAATTTTTGTGAGTTGTTAACCATTTGGAGACATTCCTTTTCTCAAACAGCCATTGTGTGTGACGCTGGGGCCCAGACCATTAGTGGCCAGAGCCCCTGAAGGCCAGGTAGGCATTAGGCACTGGTCCTCAAGGGCTACAGCCTTACTGTCTTTAGAGAATACTGTGAGACCCAGAGCCACGGATATGGGACACATCCAAGCTCACACACCCAGAGGGACATGGTGTGTCGCTCCCAAACAGTGACAAATGGTCCCTGACTGCACCAGAGTTAAAGGGACTCAGCAGGTTCGAGTCAGTGGCTTTTTAGGCCCCTGAACAGAAGAGTTCCCATGTTCGAACAGTCAGTGTTACCTTGCTAGCATGTGCTGGCTGTATCAGTCCTGCATGTCCCCTCATTAGGCAAACTGGAGCACGTGTGCAGCAGGGCACATGAAGAGAATTTTTATGTAGCCAGTGACTCACCATGAGCGAAACAAAAACCATCAGAAAGAACAGGGATTGGGGATGCATAAACTACATGTAGCGGAATGCTCAGCAGTAAGAAACTCAGCACAGCTACAGGACTGCGAAAGACTGGAGAGGTGGATCAGCAACTACGAGTACTGGCGAGTCTGCTAGAGGACCTGGGTTCAATTCCTAGAGCCTGTATGACAGATCCAACTGCTTGTAACTCCATCCTAGGGACTCCAACAGACACCAAGCACACATGTGGTACCCAGACACATATGCAGTCAAAGCACCCATACACAAAAAATAAATAAACAAAGGCACTGTAAACAATCAATAAGCAGAACTAAGGGGAAACTGCCTGGAAGGGTATACACTGTGAGTCTATTCACACAAACTTATTAATAAACAAAACCAAAACTATTAGATACAAAAGCAAACTATATAGGAACACCACAAATGTGCAAGAAAACTATTACCAGGGTGTAAAAGAGAAGAATGGGTGGGAAGAAGTTCCAGAGCAATTGAAAGGCCCTTTACTTAGTAGTTATTTGTAACTCAGCCTTAAACATTTCATGCACTTTCTCTCCTTGATACATTGTAACAAAAGATTTTAAAAAGAGATAATTAAAAAATGTCTCAGTGCCAGCTGGGAGTGACTGGGTTTAGAGATGAACTATGACAGTACAAATGTTACCACAGGAGTCAGGCAGAGCTGTGATTGGAGAACCAGCCAGCAGGAGTGCTATTTATTCAGAGTTCCCAGCACAGGACAGAGCATTCTGGGTAGAGGTGAAAGGCCAGAGCCAGAAAGACACAAGCTTCCCCAGAAAGCTTCCCAAGGAAAATGGGCACCAGGAGCCAAGTAAGTAAATAACCTATATGTGCATTTAGCTGCTGCTTCTGTTGTGTCTGCACATTTGCTGAAGATGCTTCCTTCCAGGTTACACTGGAGGCGTGACGACTGAAGTTAAGAGAAGTGATAGGAGCAGTCTATAAACTAGGAATCTGCTCTAAGGAAAAACAACTCTGGATTTGCCAGAGTGTCTTCTGGGGCACTCACAGATGATTTAAAGTGTGGGGCAGGGAGAAAGCTAAGTTGCCTGTGTTCTAACCGTCAGTGCAGAGCATGTGTTTAAAGCATGTGAATGGATGGGACAAAGTAGACTGCAGAAGGCTGTGTATAAGGACCCCAAGGGAGGCCACTCAAAGGCTTCTTAACATGAGGAGAAAGCAAATCCTCAAATTATAGGTGGGTTTTGTTCTTCCATTTCAAAACCTCTTGTAATGAATAGATACTATATTTGTAATATAAAAATAAATATATTAGTATAAAAATTAAAATCAATTTAAGCAATAATTAAATATTGTTTAAGAACAATTGAGAAGCAAGTTTTCAAATGGTCAAAGAACTTTATACCAACAGTACAGAGAGTAGTTAGAACAAAGGCTTATAGACGTTCTTTTAATTTTCTTTCAATTTTACTAGTATTTGAAATTTAAAATTTAATTTGTGACTGAATAAAAATAATGTAAGAATTAATTTTAAGACCTAAGGTGTTTAGTTTCTTTTCATGCACTTTTACTTAGTTCTTACAAAGAGAATGATTTGTATTTAACTTATGCTCTATTGATAAACTGATTGTATAAGTCTGACTTCCCATCTGGAGACCTTAGTTGAACTCAATTTAGTGGATTGAAGATGGGACTTTCTTTAGAACAGTTCCAGAGTGATTCCTACCACTCTGTTGGTACTACCATGATTCCTATCATACCTGCTGGTCAATGACCACACTTTAATATCTGATCATGCTTCCCTATAACAGATTAATTAAAAGTAACAAACTGACCTTGTGTTCAATAGCCATACTTGGAAACATATACTGATGCAATAGAGGGGAAATCTTCCCCAATGTCATATAACTAAGTCTCAGGAAACTGTGAAACATCTTTCAAAATGTCCTATAGCTTTGGGGGCTCATCTGTTCTCTGCCTTGGGAGATCTTGGATATACCACTGAGTAGACTCTATCCAGTGTCCAGTCTGCCAAGCAAAACACAGAGGAAAAATTACATCCTCACTTTCAGGTCAAACAAGGCCTTTGACTTATCCTCATGGAAATGGACTAAAAAAGCAAAAAGAAAGACTAGATGAACCAGGAGCTTCTGCCAAGCCCAAGTCATGCCTGACTACCAGGTCTTCAACTGACCTTGAGAGGAAAAAAATGATTCATTTTTGCCACCTACATGGTTTTAAGCACCCAGCAGAAAAAAGTATAACACAAATTAAAATGATCAATGTTCTTTAACAGCTCAATGAACTACAATTCTCAGACATTGTACATAACTACATGAGAGATTATTTGGACAAAATTCTCACTAAGAATTCTATTCCCGACAAATATATACATTGCCCAGATACACAAGACCATAACTTACTTTAATACTGCGATGTCTATCAGCAGGGTGGGAAAGAAAACAGTCAAATCTTTAAAAAGCTGTATTTCCAGAACACTACCTCTGGAAGTCCATTCCCACAGCTACTGTGCATCCTTCTGTACCCTAACCATTTATGTTTACTGATTAAAGGAAATTGCCAAATGCCCTGTTGTCAAACTCAGGTTTGAAGATTATTCATGATACCCACATTGTGTCCCTGGACATTGTGACACAATCCTATAAAAAAAAAAATATATATATATATATATATATATACACACACACACACATACATACATATACTTCTCTTTTAAATTACCCATTAGCTGCTGCTGACTTATTGTGACTTAACAAACAGCATTTTGAGAATCTACATCTCTCTCAGGTTAGGCCCACCCTGTCTATGTCCACTGGGCACTCCACCTGGCACATGGGCAGACACATCTATTGCTGCTAACACACTGACAATGGGACAGCTGCATTAATTGACCTCTCTTACAAAGTTTCCAAGCGTTCACTCCTTGTGCAGGAGTCTAATGTAACAAACAGCTGATTGAACAGTTACACTTTGATCTGTCAAATATGACTTATATCAATCAGGACATAGAGGATTCTTTAAATGGCTTTCTTGCCTGTTCTGTTTCACTAATAAGGGCAAAGCTGCCCCAAGTATCTTCCTAACTATGCTCTCAGCAGAATTACTAACAGTTGAAAAATCCCCGGAGGGTATCTTCCGTCTGAGAGACCCCCTCCCAAGGAACAACGAGGCCATTCGGATGCAAACAGCAAGAGGCTTTTATTTTGATACACTGTACCCGGGGCAGCAGAGTCATTCGGATGACTTTGCGCGCCCCCTAGGTGGGAAGCTGGGGTTTTATAGGATTTTAGAGCAGAAGCGTGGGTACAGAAGCGAGAGGCATGGTTACAGGGGGCTGATTGGTACGTTTACATGAGACCACGGTTTGTGTCAAAGTTTGGCAGGGACACCAAGATTCCAGGAACTGGGTGGTCGAAACAGTCATGATGACCCCTTGACGTGGCCCACTATCTGTTGTTTTATTTTTCCCTAGGACCCTTATCTTAACTGGAACAGTCTCACAGATATCCATGAGGGTGATTAACACAAACTGTTTTTAGCTCAACTGGGGCAGCCTGACCGCAGATATCCCAAGTGGGTGACACAGCTGGGTTTCTTAGTAATTTTCCAGTTTCCCATTAGCCTTCAGAGTTTTACAAAACAGTGGTGTCCCACAAAATGGCGTTAGCTATGTTTAACTTAGGGTGAGGCTGGGGTCTTTCACAGTCACATCTGTTATATGTTGCAGAAGCTACCTCAAAGGTATGGCACAATCCTAAAATACCTGCTACCACCAAATGGCTGTTAGGCTCTGAATCTTTGCCATCACCAAAGCATTACTCTGGCCCCTTAGATCGTCCCCTCCCTAAGGCAGTCTAACTGCTGTGCCTTCCTTCTTAACCCTTTTGTCAGCTCAAAACAGTTTAGAGTGGTCAGAATCACTAAATTCCTACAGTAATTTGCATCCTGATCCCAGTTTCCCCTTGCTCCTCTCCTCCCAGTCCCTGCCCCGACCTCCCTTCTCCCACCCATCCACTCCTCCTTCCTTTCTCTTCAGAAAAGTGAAGGCCTCCCATGATTATCAACCCACCTTAGCATATCAAGCTACAGTAAGACTAGGTGTATCTTCTCCTATAGAAGCTAGATAAGGCCTCCCAGTAGGGGAAAGGGTTCCCAAAAGCAGGCAAAAGAGGCAGGGACAGTCGCTGCTCCCACCTTTAGGAGTCCCACATGAAGACCAAGCTACACAACTGTTACATTTGTGTGTAGAGGGCCTAGGTCAGTCCCTTCCATGCTCTATGGTTGGCAGTTCAGTCTCTGTGAGACCCGTGGGCTCAGGTTAGTTGATTGTGTAGGTTTTCTTATGTCCTTAACTCCTCTGGCTCCTTAAATCCTTCCTCCCTGTCTTCAGGATTCCCCAAGCTCAGCCTAATGTTTGCCTGTGGGTCTCTGCATCTGTTTCCATCAGTTGCTGGGTGAAGCCTCTCTGATGACAGTTACACTAGGCTCCTGTCTGCAAGTATAACAGAGTATCATTAACAGTGTCAGGAGTGGGCTCCCTCTCATGGCATGGGTCTCAAGTTGGACCAATCATTGGTTGGCCCTTCCCTCAAATTCTGCTCCATCTTTACCCCTGAACATCAGGGTAAATTGTGGGGCAAAGTTTTCACAGCTGAATTGGTGTCCCAGTCCCTCCATTGGAAGTCTTAGCTGGTTCCAGGAGATGGCCGGTTCAGGCTCCGTATGTACCATTGCTATGAGTCTTAGGTAGGGCTACCCTCATAGATTCCTCGGAGTTTCCTTTGCCCTAGGTTTCTAGCTCGTCCCAGAGATTGACCTCCCCCCATTCCAGCTGTATCTCCCAGTACTCTCTCCCTCCATCTTTCCCACACCTGATCCCTCTCGTTCCCATCTCCATAACCATCCCAATCCATTCTCCTCCCCTTGTCCACCCAGGATTTCTATTCTAGTTCCCCTTCTCAGTGAGATTCAAGCATCTCCTCTTGAGCCCTCCTTGTTAGTTGGCTTCTTTGGGTCTGTGGATTGTAGCATAGTTATCCATTTACTTTACAACTAATATCCACTTTAAGTGAGTACACACCATGGTGGTGTTTCTGGCCTGGGTAACCTCACTCAGGATGATATTTTCTAGTTCCATCCATTTGCCTACAAATTTCATTATGTCATTGTTTTTAATAACTGAGTAATACTCCATTATGTAGATGCACCACATTTTCTTTATTCATTCTTCAGCTGAGGGACATTTGGGTTATTTCCAACTTCTAGGTACTACAAATAAAGCTGCTATGAATATGGTTGAACAAGTGTCTTTGTGGTATGGTGGAACATCCTTTGTGTATATGCCTAAGAGTGGTACAGCTGACTCAGGGTAGATCTATTCCCAATTTTCTAAGAAACCACCAAATTGATTCGCAAAGTGGTTGTACAAGTTTTCATTCCCACAAGCAATGGAGGAGTGCTCCCTTTCTCCACATCCTCACCAGCATGAGCAGTCCCTTGAATATTTATCTTAGCCATTCTGATGGGTGTAAGATGGAATCTCAGAGACATTTTGGGTTTCATTTCCCTGATGGGTAAGGATGTGGAACATTTCTTTAAGTGCTTCTCAGCTATTAGAGATTCTGTTTTTACTCTATTTTTAAATTGGTTTATTTGGTTTGTACATCAAGTTTTCGTGGTTCTTTATATATATTGAATATCATCCCTCTGTCAGATGTGGGGTTAGTGAATTTTTTTTTCCATTCTGTCCTTTTAATGGCATCCTTTGCTTTACAGAAGTTTTTCAGTTTAATGCGGTCCCATTTATTGTTGATCTTAATGAGCTACTGGTGTTCTATTAAAAAAATTTGTCTCCTGTGCCAATGAAAAGCCAACTTTTTAACTACAAGCAACTCTTTAATTTGTTCAGAACTCTGGGTACTCTTTCTTCCAGTTAAATTTAAAAGGCTATGAAGCCAAATATCTTATATTCACCCATTTGATCATCACTGTTTTCTGAAACACTATTTGTTAATCATGTTCCCAATGTGGTTCTGCTGAGTCAAAAGATCAGTTATCTCTGCAGGTTTTCACAAGAGGCTTTAGAAAAAACAGCTGCAGTGATTGCTTAATTCCACCAGAATTGTTATCTGAGATGGAATAAGCTTCAAATCAAATATTCATTTCTACATCCACAATTTCATCAGCTCCATCCTTTCTTTCATCACTGTCTTCATTATCTTCATCCTCATTGGCAACATGATATACTTTTCCTCCTTATGCAAAAATATGGAACTCTTCATGAATTTCATGTCATCCTTGCACTAGGTCCAGACTAATCTGTTTTGTTCTAATTTTAGTACATGTTCTAATTTTAGTTTTAATTTTAGAAAACTAGCACCAGTCTATAATTTTAGTTGAGGACCAGCATGCCCATCTGAACAACTGATGAAAATATTAAACAGAAAGAAGGTAAGGGTGCTCAAGAATCATACCCATAGCACCTGTTACATGTTTGCCGAACACTCCAGCCAAGGCTACAAGAGTACACATTCTTTTTAAGGCCAACAAGACATACTAAATAATACACATCAGCTGCTAAGTCATAAAGGTAACCTCTACAAATTAAAAAATATATATATGAAATCATACTGAAAGTGCTAACAGACCTTCAGAATTGAATTACAATAAAAAAGAAAAAATGCAATTAACTGGTAGCTAAATTACATACTCTAAAACAGTCTACTTAGCAAAGAAGTTTCAAAAGAATTGTCCTATTTATTTATTTATGTGCATTAGTGTTTGCCTCCATGTATGTCTGTGTGGGGGAGTCAAAGCCAGTAGGACTTGATGTACAGAGAGTTGTGAGCTGCCATGTGCATGCTGAGAATTGAATCCTGGTCCTCTGGAAGAGCAGCCAATGCTCCAATTAATTAATTAATTAATTAATTAATTAATTAATTAATATCCCTAGCTCAGTTTTCCCTCCCTCCTCTTCTCCATCCCTCTCCCTCCCCTGCCCATCCACTCCTCCTCCTTTGCTCTTCAGAAAAGTGGAGGCCTCCCATGGATATCATATTACATTAAGACTAGGTGTATTGTGTAAGCATGGCGATTAATATTTACTATTGGTTTATCTTATAGTTAAGCTTGCTGTTAATGTTAAACAGCTGTGTAACCAAATCACCACACAGAGACTGGGTTTATTTAGTTAACCTAGAACACAATGCTGGGCAATAGTTACGCCATACTAAACCTCCAAGCCCTCATAGTTTCCTAACATTTAGATTTCCCACATTATACTTGCTTCTAATGGTATCTTAGGTCCAGTCCATCTCTCCACATAGTTCCAAGATCTGTCCTCTGTCTCCCTCTTCAAGCTCTCCTCTCGCCCCTTCTCCCACTCATTTCCTGACCTCTGGTTCCTCCCTGCTCAACATTGTGTCTAGTTGCTTTATTTTGTCCTATTTACACAAGAGTTGAGACAGGATGCTTAGAATGAGTATCACAATGCAATATCCGGATTGAAACGAAAGAGCGGTGGGTAGAAATCAGCATTTGAATGAACAAGGGTAACGTGTATACATTTTAAAAGAACGTTATACCAACAGTGTATCTTCTATTGATGCTAACTAAGCAGCCCAGTAAGGGGAAAGGTCCAAAAGCAGACAACAGAGCCAGAAACAGCCCCTGCTCCTTCTGTTAGGAGTCCCACATGAAGGCCAAATTGTACATATGCGCAGAGGCCATAGGTAAGTCCCATGCAGGCTCCCTGGTTGACAGCCAATGCTCTTAACCACTAAACCATCTTTGGTGCCAAGGAACTTTGTTAATACATCATATAGAATGAAACTGAAATTTTTCCATCAACATTTGTATGGCACAGCCAAATCCACACTGATTTGTTATCTACGCAACTATGTGACCACATCGGAAAAGTAAAGTTGCAAATCAGTAAATAATTCCAGCTCATACTGCAGGGCTTCAGAAATAGAAGAGTAAAATAAAACCAAAGCAAGCTGAAGGGAGGGAATAAGAAGGGTAACAGCAGAGGCTAACAGACTTAAAAACAGGAAAGCAATTGAGAAAATGAATAAAGCAATGAGCAGATCCTTGAAAGCAATACACTTAACAAGGCTCTTACAAGATTGGGAGAAAGGCATAGACTTAAATTAGGAAAATCAAGAATGAAGCAAAGGCATCTCACAGGCACTGTAGGCATCCATGGATCAAGAAGGAGATAAAACTGTTAACTCTGCACATATGAACTTGACCCACAGGCAAACAAAGCCATTCCTGGAAAAAAAAAAATCACAGCTGCAATATTTACCGAAGATGAAATAAATCATCTTTGTAGCACTATAATTATTAAAGTAATTGAAATCAAAGTTTAAACTGCCACCCCTAAAAGATATATATAAATCTGAAGAATTTTACTCTTTTACATATTTAATGAATTAAGAATGATTCTACATACTTTCTTCTACAAGAATAAGACTTCCAGATTTTTTCCTTATAATCAATATTATGACACCAAAACCAAACACATAATAAAGCAAAAATGTTAGACAATTAATACAAGTATCTCTCATGAGTGTAAGCTCAAAAATGCTCAACAAAATTTGAGCAAAGTAGAGTCAACAATATATATAGTTATCCATAGTTGCTTTTGTATAAAAGGAATTAATCCATCTAGGATTTGTTTCAAGCATAGAACAAATACATACAGTAACTAATAATCAATATAATCTACCACATTAAAAAGATAGCCAAGGAAAAGTCATATGATCACCCAATTTGGAGAGAAAAACACTATGTAGCCTTTATTTGAGAATAAGTTTGTCTCTACCCTTGAGAAAATTCCTTGGATCTCAGTCAAAGCTGTCTTGGTGTACACACAGATGTGCTTTTCACTGCCAGGCCTTATATAGGCTAGTTCATTTCCTCTGAGTAATCACAAACTGCTAGAGAAACTGTCTAGTAACTGCAATGCTCATTTTACAAATGTAGAAATTCAAAACTTAAACATTTCAACAGACTGTATAAAAGACCATCTTGTAAAGTCAACATGTTAATATACAAACAAGCCATTCTTTCTCTCGTCTGTACTCCAGAGGTCACAGTACACAGTATGCTTTCCCTGTCTCGACCATGAAATCCAACCACTCAGACAAGAGAAACACCCGGGTAGTAGACGGGTAGTAGAAGTAGCCACTGACCAACTTCACCTCTTGTGTTCTTTCCCTGAGTAAACCTACCACACATGTTCATAGGCTCATAGAAACCTTCAAGCAACAAGAAAGTATACATTTACAGGGTTTTGACAGAAACCAATTTAATAATTATCTGACTTCAATAGTTTTAATAATTATCTGACAGAGATGGAAGGGGAGGAAGACCTCCCCCATGAGCGGACTGGGGAAGGAGCATGGGAGAAGAAGAGAAAGGGAGAGCAGAATTGGGAGGAGATGAGGGAGGGGGTACAGCTAGGATACAAAGTGAATAAATTGTAATAAATCAAAAAAGAATTTTTAAATTATCTGACAGAAAGCTCATATTCCAGCACTTCAAGCTGCCAGTGGTTGACATACTGTCATTATTTCCACAGTAAAAACTGCCATCAGAATCTCCTGGCACCAGGCAGTCCTATCTACAACAAGAACAGAAGAACGCCACCATGAGCACTGCAGGCAAGGTAGGTGTCCTCTCTCCATGTGTGCCATGCCATAGTTGTGCCAGTTTGCTAGGCTCCTGTAGGACACACAATGCTTAATTGTAAACTCTTCCCCTCCATTCCCTTCCCTTTTATTTCCATTCTGTGTTAGTCCCTTCTCTGATTTTTCCATTGCTGCAGTAAGTAGTATGCAAACTTGTCGGGAGCCGCTCCCGCCATTACAAGATGGCGCCGGCTTCCTGCTTCCTGGTTCTTCTTGCCAGCATTTTCGCGCTTCTTGTCAGCATTGCCCTGCGCTTTACGCATGCGCAGCTTTATGTTGATGAGGGTTTAGGCTGCAATCCAATTGCCAGCCATATACTGATGAGGACTCGAGCAGAGCACCACTTACAGACGGACAGGTCGCCTTGCTGGCTATTTAAACGGGGCGCTGCCAGGGGTCTGGGTCCTTCACCATCTGCAAGAAAGAGCTGTACAATAAACTTGCCGCTGAAGAAATCCTCGGTTGTTGCGTCGTCCTTATCGGCAAAGGCCGGTCGCGACACAAACTCTACTTCAGATCTCTCCACTCAAAGCTAAAGCCCTTCTTGGGGACCCCTCAGAGGCACATGTAGACTCCTAAACAGGGGGCAAAGAGTTCAAAAGATATCTGGAAGACCTCAAGGACATTTCAAATCTACCCTGGCTTTCCAGAGAAGGTGGCAATAAAGGAGCAACTTACCTGAGAAATAGACTCACCAGGCAATAGAGGACAAGGATTTGTAAGCAAGTGAAACCACAGGGGGAAAAAGAATGAAGGCAGGAAAAGTCTCCCACTTGATCACCTCCAAACATCTTCCATGATTTAAATAAAAGGCTGAGGCAGAAAGTGATGAGAAATAGGACTGCAGAGAGACAAGGAGAAAACTGGGATGCCGATGGATGCTGTCAGGCAACTGGCAGAAGAATTGCTTCTAGTGCATTAGCCTGGGGGAGGTCAGATGAATGATATGAAGGGTGCATCTGAACATGATAACGCCAGCCACGGAGCAGAAAGTTTCCCCAGTACTTCATGGGAAAGGCAATGGAATGGTCCAGACAGCACACAAGTCTTGGGAATGATGACGAAGACACAGATTCCAGAAAATGTCTGATTCTGGATGAAGAAGGGCAGAGAAAAATTAAGGCTACTTCCCAGCTTTCTGTCTTGGATGGGCAAGTGGTTGGATTTCATGTCTGAAACAGGGAAGGCAGATTGTGTACTGTGTTCTCTGGAGTACAGATGAGAGAAAGAATCGTTTGTTTTTATACTAACATGTTGACTTTGAAGTATGTGAAAGACATTCAAGCAGCATATAAATACTTGTCTAAATCTTTGGAGAAAGCTGTCCCATAGGTACAGTTTGTACAAGTCATCTACATAAAAGTACTGACTGAATGCATAGAAATGAAAGATAATTTATAATAAGTAATAACAGGCTGATATCAGTGCACCTAAGACCTACCTTGCCATCAGTTATCTTGTCAACACCAGTCTCCAGTAATTAGCATTTTGAGATCACTGCCATCAGCTGGTCTTCACTCTTTATCCCATAACTCATTGCTTCACTCAAAGATCCCTCAGGCTTTGGGTCACCAATAATCCTACACTGTAATGTCATCACAATCCTGAAGCAACCAGTGGACAGTTTCACTCATAATAATAGCAAATACAAGGCATACAACCAGGAATGGTGCCATTTGCCTGTAATGGCAGCCCAGGGAAATGGAGGCAGGAGAATCCCAAGTTCAAGGGCAGGCTGGGCTACATAGTAAGGCTGTTTCAGAAGAGAGGTAGAGCTATTCATCCTTTTAGATGTGTGCTTTTCCTATAAATATAAGTGATATTTGTTATACTAATTTAAATATAAAAGCTGAAAACATAAAAAATCATATTGGGCTAGGAGCCAATAATTCAAATATATATTTAGAGTTTTTCACTCTTTTTTTTCCTCTGAGTATAAGTAAAGTACTTTCTAGCAACAAATAATATGAGTCTTCCACTCTCTCTCTTCATCTGCTAAACTCAGATGATCAGATGCAAGGCTGCTGTGCTCTGGAAGCCTGGAGCCCCACTTGACATTGAGGAGATAGAAGTGGCCCCACCAAAGGTAGAGGAAGTTCGAATAAAGGTAAAACAAAATACACATATGGACATCAAAACCACCCTAAATTATATATCCTTTCCACAATTTCCTACTCAAAAGGAAAACTACATATTCTTCTGTCTAGAAAATGTTAGGGAGGGTTAGTACGTGTTCACACTGCTAAATAGAATAAGAACAAATTCAGTGATGTGTTTTTTTTTTTTTTTCAAAGCTCAGTTAAATGCTTGGAATCACTGGGGAGCTTAGAATATGCTAGCTGCATCTCATCTCAGATTCTGCAATTCTGAGTTGTTTGACTGGCATGCCACATATCCCAAGATGATTCTAACGAGCTCCCAGGAAGCTAGAATGCAGTTCAACAGACTTGTGGTTCAAGGTCATTAGATTATTTTCAGTACAGTGGTGGAGAGTATGTATTATTTACTAGTGGACTATAGAGAGATAGCTTTTTCTATTCTCTACTGAGTAGTGAATGTGGGGTTTATCAATCCCAACCCACTACACTCCAACAAGGTCACAACTTACAATCAGTTTTAGACTCAAAGACACCCAGCTACAATCTGACTCTCACCTGTGCATTTGAACCAAAAGCCACAGCCGGAGTGGTGACAGCAAGTGGCCGATAGGCTAAGGAGAGGTGGTGGTGCTGGCAGCTGGGATGATCCAGGTGCTGATGACAGATAAGAGGACAAAGCCAGCTAGGGTGAATGAATTAGAAAAGAATAATGAACTCAAACCAGATTGGTTGGTGCATTTCAAAAACCATGAGGTTTAAAGGTTTGTCCTCCAGTCATGTCACAAGCACAGCATAGAAATGACTTACAATGAAGTGGGACTGTTAATACAACTTTAAGTGTCTTTGCAAAACAAACTAGAACTTTACTAAAATAGGGAACATTACTGTTTTCTGTTTTAAGTCTCAACCTTTTAATTCTATCATTAGTTGTCTTTTTCCACATTTCCACCCTCAAGCTCCAGGAAGGGCCAGGTCAGATCCTTGGTATCACCCTGGGTGATTTGTATTGCAATCTTCCCCGTAGGCTCAAGTATTTGAATACTTGGTTCTCAGTCACTGGAACTATTTATGAAGATTATGGATAGATGCAGCATTGCCTGGAGACAGGCTTTGCAAGTTCATTGCCTCACCTTACATCTACTATGTGCTCTGATTCCTTTTCTGGCTGAAGGTGTGTTCTCTCAGTTTTCTGCTCTGGCTGGCTGCTGCCGTGCCTCCCCCTGCATTACAGTCTCCCTCTGGAACCATAAGCCTAATATAAGCTCGTCCTTCTATGAGTTGTTTGTGGCTGTGGCATCTTATCACTGCAGTAGAAAAGTCACTAATGCACACAATACACTTCCCAGCTTCTCGTCTCACCCCAGTCTACCCACCCTCGTGAAATGATAAAATCATCATTTTTATCTTGGAAGTTAGTTAAGAAAGGACACTGTGTTCCTTTACATAATAATTATTAACTGATGCCAATAAAAAGAGCTGAATAGAAGGGAATGCAGTGGAAGCCTTCAGAAAGCAGCAAGTATGAAGAGCGTTCACAACAGACAAACCTCAGTTCTCTTTGCTTTCCACACAGATAGTGGCCACAGGAATCTGTGGTACAGATATGAGAAGTCTGGAAAAGAAAGAATTTACTCATCTTTGCCCCATCATTATTGGCCATGAAGGAACTGGAATAGTTGAGAGTGTGGGAGAAGGAGTAAGCACGGTGAAAACAGGTAAGCACCATTTGGCATCAAAAAATAGCAAGTTTTGGAACACACAGCACAAAATGAACTTAAGGCAATCCCTTAAATGTGTCATATTGAAGCAGACAAAATGAAAGGTGAAACACTGCCCACTTCTGGGAGGAAGGGTCATAATTGTTTTTAAACTACACCACAATTGTAATGAGGTTTATTCTTTGCATTTGTACTTTGAAGTAGAATGCACCAAATCTAGACCTAATAAGAGGCACAAGTGAGTAGGGAAAGAAAAAGAAATGGGTAAACTGGGATGTACTACCAAACAATTATTTAAATGAAATGAGGGCAATGGCCTACATTGTTTGGTTGGGTCTCTTAGATCCCCTTGACTAACAACTTGAAGGGAGGTGTCCCTTCCCTGGCATTGGAAGTTCAGAGAGCCTATGGCTCCTGGAGGGAGTGCTGTCACCTTATATGTAGTGACTCGATTTAAACAATATGTGTTTGTGGTGTGTGTGTGTATGTATGTATGTATATATGTATGTTGTATTGTTGGTAAATACTTACTATTGATATATATTTTTAGTAATGCTGCTGTTAATCCAAAACAGCTGTATAACCAAACCACCACACAGAGACTGGGATTTATTTAGTTAACCTAACTCACAATGCTGGGCAATAGTTACTCCATCCTAAACCTCCAAGCCCTCATAGTTTCCTAACATTTAGATTCATCCATTATAATTGCTTTTTGTGAAATCTTAGGTCCGGTTCATTCTCCACATCTTTCCAAGACCTCTCTCCCAGCCTCTCTCTCCCAGCTCTCTCCTCTTCTCCTCCTCCTCTGCCTCCCACTACTTCCTCTCCTCTGGCTCCTCCCTTCTCCCTCCTACTCCTTCCTCTCCTTTGCGCAACATTGTGGCTGGTTGTTTTATTTTGGAATGTTTCCACAAAGTTGAGACAGGTGATGCTTATAATAAGTATCATAATGCAATTTCCAGATTGAAACCAAAGAGTGGGGGAAAGAAATCACCATTTGAATGAACAAGGGTAAGGTGTATACATTCCAAAAGAACATTATACCAACATAGGTATAAATGTACAGATACATATTTGTGTGTATAGATATTTATAAATGTATGCATAGCTATGTATATGTGTAAATATGTATATGTGTGTAGATGTATATATAACATATGTATATATGTATGTGTACATACATATTTATTATGTTTATTGTTAACTACGCTTATAAAATAATGTTTTATTATAGCTTTTTCAAATATTTTTAGTGTTACTTATCCTTCCTCACTCTCCCTCTGTATTACCCTATTTTTCCCTTCCAGTTTAGTCCTCACCCCATTTCTTTCCTTTCCTCCTTCATAGTACCTCTGCCCTATGACATTCTCTCTAGAACAACTTCTGTCTGCTTCTCTCATGGTTCTTTTTTATTTACTGGCCTTTCAAGTTACTTCAGGTTTTATACTCAAATCCAAAGATTCAGAGCTAGGATCCATAAACATAAGAGAATATATAGCAGGCAGGAGAGATAGCTCAGTGGTTAAGAGCACTGCCTGCTCTTCTGGAGGATCTGAGTTACAGTCCCAGCAACCACCTGGTGGCTTACAATCATCTATACTAGATCTGATGCCCTTTTCTGTCATGCAGGTATACATGCAGATCGAACACTCATATACATAAAATAAATAAATGAATCTGAGAGAGAGAAAATATAGCATTTTGTCTTTCTGGGTCTAGGTTACCTTACTATATTTTCTGGCTCCATCCATTTACCTGTAAATTTCATAAATTCATGTTCTTTGAAGCTGAGAACAATACCATCATATAACTGAATCATGTTTTCATTATACTCTCATCAACTGAGGAACATCTAGGCAGATTCTATTTTGTTACTATTTTCAGTAAGTGGTAATGAATACGGCTGGACAAAAATCTGTAGGGTTGAATGTTGAGTCCTTTCAGCATATGTTGAAGAATAGTTTATGTGATTCAGTCATAAAACAGATAAACTTTGAGATTTTTGAGAATTCTCTTTCAAGGTCTGTAAAGAATTGTGTTGGCAATTTGATGGGAATTGCATTAAACCTGTAGATTGCTTTTGGTAAGATGGCCATTTTTACTATGTTAATCTTGCCAAGCCATGAGCATGGGAGATCTATCCATCTTCTCATATCTTCTTCTAATTCTTTCTTCAGAGACTTGAAATTTTTTTCATACAAGTCTTTGACTTGCTTGGTTAGGGTTACACCAAGGTACTTTATGTCATTTGTGGCTATTGTGAACGGTGTTGTTTCTCTAATTTCTTTCTCAGCCCTTTTGTATTTTGTATACAGGAGTGCTACTGATTTTTTTGAGCGGATTTTGTATCCGGCCACTTTGCTGAAGGTGTTTATCAGCTGTACGAGTTCCCTGGTAGAGTTTTTGGGGTCACTTATGTATACTATCATATCATCTGCAAATAATGATAATTTGACTTCTTCCTTTCCCATCTGTATCCCCTTGATCTCCTTCAACTGTCTTATTGCTCTAGCAAGGACTTCCAGCACTATGTGGAAGAGATATGGAGAGAGTGGGCAGCCTTGTCTTGTCCCTGATTTCAGTGGGATTGCTTTAAGTTTCTCTCCGTTTAGTCTGATGTTGGCTATAGGCTTGTTGTATATCGCCTTTACTATGTTTAGATATGTGCCTTGTATCCCTGATCTCTCCAATACTTTAAACATGAATGGATGTTGGATTTTGTCAAATGCTTTTTCAGCATCTAGGGAGATTATCATGTGGTTTTTTTCTTTCAATTTGTTAACATGGTGGATCACATTGATGGATTTCCGTATATTGAACTACCCCTGCATACATGGGATGAAGCCTACTTGGTCATAGTGGATAATATCTTTGATGTGTTCTTGTATTCGGTTTGCAAGTATTTTGTTAAGTATTTTTGCATCAATGTTCATAAGGGAGATTGGCCTGAAATTCTCTTTCTTTGTTGGGTCTTTGTGAGGTTTAGGTACCAAGGTGACTGTGGCTTCATAGAATGAGTTTGGTAATATTCCTTCTGTTTCTATTTTGTGGAATAGTTTGAAGAGAATTGGAGTTAGCTCTTCTTTGAAGGTCTGGTAGAATTCTGTGCTGAAGCCATCTGGTCCTGGGCTTTTTTTGGATGGGAGACTTTTGATGACTGCTTCTATTTCTTTGGGGGATATAGGACTATTTAATTGATTTACCTGGTCCTGATTCAGCTTTGGTGAGTCAAATCGATCAAGAAAATTGTCCATTTCATTTAGATTTTCAAATTTTGTGGCATATAGACTTTTGAAGTAAGTCCTAATGATTGTTTGGATTTCCTCAGTGTCTGAAGTTATGTCCCCCTTTTCATTTCTGATTTTGTTGATTTGGGTGGTGTCTCTCTGCCTTTTAGTTAGCTTGGCTAAGGGTTTGTCTATCTTGTTGATTTTCTCAAAGAACCAGCTCTTGGTTTCATTGATTCTTTGAATTGTTTTATTTGTTTCTAATTGATTGATTTCAGCCCTGAGTTTGATTATTTCCAGCCGTCTACTTCTTTTTGGTGTGTCTGCTTCTTCTTTTTCTAGGGTTTTTAAGTGGGCCATTAAGTTGCTTGAATGAGCTGTCTCGAATTTCTTCTTGAAGGCACTTAGAGCTATGAACTTTCCTCTTAGCACTGCTTTCATTGTGTCCCACAAGTTTGGGTATGTTGTGTCATTTTCATTGAGTTCTAGGAAGACTTTAATTTCTTTATTTCTTCCCTGACCCAGCTGTCATTTAGTAACAAGTTGTTCAGTTTCCATGTGTGTGTAGGCTTTTTGCTATTTCTGTTGTTGTTGAAGTCCAGCTTTATTCTATGGTGACCAGACAAGATACAAGGGATTATTTCAGGCTTCTTGTATCTGTTGAGGCTTGCTTTGTGACCAACTATATGGTCTATTTTGGAGAAGATTCCATGAGGTGCTGAGAAGAAGGTAAATTCTTTTGTGTTTGGGTGTAAAGTTCTGTAGATGTCTGTGAGGTCCATTTGATTCATGACCTCTGTCAGAGATATTGTTTCTTTGTTTAATTTCTGTTTTGTTGACCTGTCCTTTGTTGAGAGTGGGGTGTTGAAGTCTCCCACTATTAATGTGTGGGGATCTATATGTGGTTTAAATTTTATCAATGTTTCTTTTACAAATGTGGGTGCTCTTGTATTTGGGGCATAGATGTTCAGGATTGTGATGTCTTCCTGGTGGAATTTTCCCTTGATGAGTATGAAGTGTCCTTCCCATCTCTTTTTATTAATTTTGGTTGAAAGTCTATTTTATCAGATATTAGAATGGCTCCTCCTGCTTGTTTCTTGGGTCCATTTGCTTGGAAAGTCGTCTTCCAACCTTTTACCCTCAGGTAATATCTATCTTTGTGCCTTAGGTGTGTTTCTTGTATGCAATAGGTTGCTGGGTTTTGTTTACATATCCATTCTGTTAATCTATGTCTTTTTACTGGAGAGTTTTGTCCATTGATGTTGAGAGAGATTAATGACCAGTGGCTGCTAGATCCTTTGATTTTGATGTTGGCTGTGTTCATAAGGTTGTGTGCTTGGTTGCTTTTTGTTTTACTGTAGTAAGGTTAATTATTTCCTGTGTTTTCTTGACAGAAGCTAATTTTCTTGGGTTGTATTTTCCCTTCCAGTGTCTTCTGTAATGCTGGATTGTTTGTAGGTATTGTTGAAATTTGTTTTTGTCATTGAATATCTTGTTTTCTCATCTATGAGGACTGAGAGTTTTGCAGAGTATAGTAGCCTGGGCTGACATCTGTATTCTCTTATGGTCTGCATGATATCTGTCCAGGCCCTTCTGGCTTTCATAGTCTCTGTTGAAAAGTCAGGTGTGATTCTAATGGGTTTGCCATTATATGTTACTTGGCCTTTTTCCCTTGCAGCTTTTAGTATTTTTTCTTTGTTCTGTATACTTACTGTTTTGATTATTATGTGGCAGAAGGATGTTCTTTTCTGATCAAATTTGTTGGGTGTTCTGTAGGCCTCATGTATCCTTATTGGCTTTTCCTTTAACTTGGGGAAATTTTCTTCAATGATTTTGTTGAAAATATTTTCTGGGCCTTGGAGAAGGGAGTTTTCTTTTCCTCTATACCTATTATTCTTAGGTTTTGTCTTTTCATATTGTCTTGGATTTCTTGGACGGTCTGTGTCAGGAATTTTTTGGATTTAACATTTTCTTTGACAGATACATCGATTTCTTCCATTGTGTCTTCTACACCTGAGATTCTTTCTTCCATCTCTTGTAGTCTGTTGGTTATGCTTACCTCTGTAGTTCCTGTTTTCTTCCCTAAATTCTTCCTCTCCATTATTTCCTCCATTTGTGTTTTCTTTAATTTTTCCAGTTCTATCTTCAGGTCTTGAGTTGTTTTGTTTACTTCCTTCACCTGTCTGATTATATTTTCCTCTTTTTCTTTTAGTTCCTTCAACTCTGTTTCTTTTATTTCTTTCAATGATTTAATTATTTCTTCTCTGAAGGCCACAAGCTGTTTGGTTGCATCTTCCCGTATTTCTTCACGGATGGCCATAATCTGCTTGTCTTTAACTTCTTCCATTTCTTTATGGATAGCCATGATCTGTTTGGTTTTATCTTCCTCTAATTCTTTACATATTTTATTTGTTTTCTCTATTATCCTCTTCATCAGCATAGATGTAAGGTCATTGTCTTGATTTTCTATTATGCTGCGTTGTCCAGGGCTGCTCGCCCCTGGATGGCTGGGTTCTGAAGATGCCATATTGCTCTGTCTTTTGTTGGTTGAGCTTTTACGCTGACCTCTACCCATTGGGCTGTTTTAGGTGTTGGCTGTTAGTTTCTGTGCTTCCTGGAGTCCTGAGGTAGGGAGAATCCCCTTAGCCGGAAGATGATTTTTCCTGAAGGAGTCCTCCTCTGCTTTTTGGTTATGGTCACTGTATGGCCAGTGTTTCTCAGGAATTGCCACTGTGACCTCAGGTGTATAGCCCTGAGTAGTAGCTGTGGTCTTTGTTAGGCGGGGGGGGGGGGAATCTACTCTTACCCATAGAAGTTCTCAAGACAGCTGCCCCACTGCTGGGTTTCTTGTTATAAATTTAGTGAGTTGCTGTTGTTACAGTTTTCCAGGTACAGTCCTCTTGAAGAACCTGCTGATTCCCTAGCTATAAGGTTTTCTCCCAACAGGGAAACTCAGTCTGTTATCCTAGGGCACACAGTTCTGTCCGGGAAAGTGAGAGGTACGCCCAGCAAGTCTCTGGGCCAGAGGCTGAGTGCTCTGCTCTGGGCCTGGAGAATGTGCACCTAGATTGAGTTGGTGCCTGGGGATGCCGCTCTGGTCTGGAGGCTGGGTGCCTCACTCTGGACCAGAAGCTGTGTATCCCTGTCTGGGATGGCAGCTGCAGGGACTGCTCTGGTCCAGACGCTGTGGGTGCAGCCCTCTTGAAGGACCAGGGATTCCCACAGTTTTGTCAGTCTAGCTAGGGATAACTGGTTGATCCTTGGCACAGTAGCTGAGGGCTGCTGTAATGGCTCTCTGGCTTTTGTAGGTCTGAGGATGCAGCTGTGTGTCCCAGTGCCCTAGGGGAATTCAATAATGGTGGCTGAGCACAGCACTCCTGTCTGCATTAGAAAGCTAGAGCCTAGAGTCTGTGTGAATCCAGAAAGTCTTTTGGTGCTGGGTGTCCTGAGCGTTAGACCTGATAATCCCCTCCACTGGGGATTTCCTCCTGCCAGAGACACCCAGTCTTTGCTTTGGGGACCGCTGTTCTGTCTGGGGTGGTGAGTAGAACCCACAGGCACAGATGCCCGCCTGTGGCTTCGCCTTTCTGGCCTTTGGGAGCCTAGGCATCTGCCTAAACTGGATAATTTTCCCGAGACCTTTTTGGGGTGGGGGTGTCGGCTGAGTGCTCTGAGATCAGACCAGCCGTTTCCCTCCCTGTGGGTTTGCACCTGACAATGAAATGCAGTCTCTGGTGCCCTGGAGCCCTAGGGCCCTGGTGCCTTGGGGCCCACAGTTCTATCTGAGGTGGCGAATCAGGCGCGCAGGCAGGGCTCTGTGCAGGCACCTGGGTCCCTGGCTCTGGCTCCGGGCTGGCTCCTGGGGCACCCACAGAACCCAAGTCTTTTCCAGGGGATGTCTGGGTGACCTAAGGTCGGTCCCAATCGTTTCCTGCTCCGTGGGGTTATCTCTCGACTGGAAAATCCAGTCTGTGATGTTCTGGGCCCACAGTTCAGTCTGAGACAGTGACCAGATCACACTGGCATGTAGCTCTGGGCTGGCAACCAAGCACCTGGCAGAACTAGGATCTCTTCCGTGGTTTAGCAGGGTGAGTTAAAGCTGGTTGAATCCCCCACTGTGGGGTATCTTCTCACTTGTGAAACACAATCACTTGTGTTTTATGGCTGCGAGTTCTGATTGCTGGTCACTGTGCCAATCCTGCTGTGCTGCTGCTCAGAATGAGAGTCCTCCCGGTGCCACCATCTTGTCCCGCCTCCCCAATTGTTTTCTTGCTTGTAAGGCATTCTCACCGGGGTAAGATGAAATCTCAAAGTTGTTTAAATTTGCATTTCCCTCATTTCTAAGGCTGTTGAACAACTTTTTATATATTTCTTAGCCATTTTCACTTCTTTTGACTATTCAGGTCATTGACCCATTTTTTTTTTTAAATTGGGTTGTTTGTTTTCCTGATTCTTTGTTCTTTGAGTTCTGTTTATTCTAGATATTAATCCTGTATCAAACATTCAGGATTAATATGGCAAAAGTTGTCTCCCCTTCTGGGATTCCTCTTCACTCAATTGATTGTTCCCATTGTTGTACAGAAGCCTTTTGGCTCTCTGAGGCCCCACTTATCAACTGACCCACATGTCTGGTTTTGTGCCATCACTATAGTGCTGCCATATAACCTTAAATATGGTATAATAGTCAATACAGCATTGTTCTTTTTGCTCAGAATTGTGTTAGCTATCTTTGGTCTTCTATATAAATTTTAGGATTTTTTTGGTTCTATTTATGTGAAGGATGTCATGGGAAGTTCAGTGTTACTACATTGAATGTATAAATTTCTTTTGATATGATGGTCATTTTCATGATGATCAGTCTGCGAATCTGTGATCATGAGAGTGTTTTCCTTTTTCTATTGTCCTCAATTTCTTTCTTTTAGTTTTGAAGTTTTCATTGTAGAGGTCTTTGACTTCCTAAATATAAAACTAAAAACAAAAGGGCCTAAATTCTAAGAAAGCACTTAAATTTAAATCTGTAATGGATTGCTTTCATCCTAATAAATTACTTTTTTTTAGGTGATAAAGTTATCATCTTATGTTTACCACAATGTGGAAAATGTAACACTTGCCTGAATTCAAAGAACAATATTTGTACCGAAATTAAGTAAGTCTTTATAACTATCTTTTTGAAAGTCCAATTCAGTTCTACTTGAAGAAATTTAAGATTTTTAATAAAAAGTAAACTTTGTTTCCTTTCATCTATAAAAGACTGTCAATGACACATCTGACATCTGAAGCTGGCAGCAGAATTACCTGCAAGGGAAAATTGGTGCATCAGTACGTTTCTATAGGCACCTTCTCTGAATACACAGTCATAAAGGAAATGTCAGTCGCCAAGATTGATGAAGGTGCTCCTCTGGAGAAGATGTGCATAATTGGCTGTGGGTTTGCCACTGGTTATGGTGCTGCCATCAACTCTGCCAAGGTGAGGGGCATCTACATTCATTTTTAAATGAAATGTAGCGGACTGAGGAAGTGAAAATACCTCTTACATCAGGGTGGCACCTAGTCATAGCACCTGAAGAAACATACACAAACTTCCCTCTAAGCACTGTTAAGTTTACTGAATTACTGGATTGCCTGCCGATGCACTCAATGCCATCCAGGAGTCCTGGTGTAGACTTTAAATATACCATCATTCTACCATGACTTCCCATATTCCAGTTCACTTCATCCAATAAGCAATGATGAAGCTTTTCGCTGTTCAGCTAAAAAAGAAAAAGAAAAGAAAACAGCAACGAAACCTCATCCAGCTTACATTGTAATTGAATAGTGTGCCAACTAGTGGTAAATAGTTTAAAGAGGCCCTGGATTCAACCCAAGTGTTACAAATAAATAAGAGAACTAGCAGAGAGGAGATTGTACTGGCCAGGGAATCTCATTCTGATTGAGTAGGCTACAGTTAAACTTCTTCTGGAATAACACTCTACCCTCTCCTGCTCACCTCTTTGAGGGGCCTTTGCTTTGCCTACTGTCCTTTAGTCTCAGTGCTACACAAAGAGATGGGATGTGTCTTAGTCAGCTTTGTGCCACAAATACCTACAACAATCCCATTGCAGGGAAGGAAGGGTTTCGGGGAGGCTCATTACCCCAGAGATGTATTCTGTGCTGGTTTGGCTCTGTGGTATTTGGGGTATCATGGGCAGTTTGGGGGTGTCATGGGGCAGTAAGTCATAGCAGGGAACACAAAGTAGGACAAATTGATCATCTCACATACACAGGAAAGAAAGACTATGGATAAAATACAAAAAGAAAAGGGAGCCAGTGCCCTAGAATTTCTGCAGGACATGTGCCCAGGATGTTTTCTTTCCAATGAACTCCTTCAGAGGTTCTGCTATTTACTTATGATATCAAGGGCTGAGGAGTAATCCTTTATCACATGTGTCTTAGAGCATGTTCAAGATGCAAACTATAACAGGTTGGAAGGGGTTCTATTTAAATTGGCACCACACTGCATGCAGCTCAGTAAAGGGAAGGAAGGAAGGAGCAAGGGATGATATGTGGAAGGGAAGGAGGAAGGGAGGAAGAGAAGGAAGGAAGGAAGGAAGGAAGGAAGGAAGGAAGGAAGGAAGGAAGGAAGGGAGGGAGGGAGGAAGATATTTGGGAGAACCCACAACTATTTACAATTTAAGAAATATTCTGCCCTAATAAAAAGATTCAGTGAAATTTCATTGCCTTACTTCCACTCATGCTAATTCCTTCCTGAGACTTGAAACTCTCTCCTTGTATGCAGGTTTTTTTTTTCCTGTGCTAAAAGTATCATACACCAGGAAATAGCCTGAGGAACTAAAGTTCTCTTAATGCATTTTATTTGAAAATGTCCTTTCCTTCCATCTCATGAAAAGCAGTCAGTGAGGACACACAAGACTGGGGAGCAGCTCACCGACAGAAGCTCCCTTAAGTACCAAGAGCTTTGGCTTCACTCCCTACCATAGAAGGGGAAAGTTCATGTTCCTTTTGCTTTTGAGTTTTTGCCTTTGTACCCAGGTAACTCCAGGCTCTACCTGTGCTGTGTTTGGCCTGGGAGGTGTTGGTCTCTCTGTCATCATTGGCTGTAAAGCAGCAGGAGCATCCAGGATCATCGCTGTGGACATCAATAAAGACAAGTTTGTGAAGGCCAAGGCAGTGGGTGCTACTGAGTGCCTAGCGCCACAGGACTTTGAGAAACCCATTCAACAAGTCTTATTTGATATGATGAGTGGAGGTGCAGACTTCTGCTTTGAGGTCACTGGAAACCCAGATACGGTGGTATGTGATCTTTGGAAGTGAAATATTATACCAGTTGTTTAGTATTTTAATTGAATGAACATCTTACAATTCCTTCCACATTTCCTTGTGGTCCATTATAATAGGACTTCCTTGGATCCACAAGCAGTTAAATAGATACAGAAACTTATTTAAAAGCTTAGGTGCAGAGCTGGGCAGACTCTCATCTAGCTCACTTAAGCTCAGCCCAGACTATTCTAGCCCATGACCCACCACATGGCTAGTTCTTTGCCTCCCTCTCAGCCCGGGTATGTCTGTTTCTTCCAGTGTCACACTGGCGAATCCCCAGCATATGAATTCTTTCTACCAGAGACACTCTCTCTACATGGAAGTTCTGCCTTACCCTTCTGTCCAGCCATTGTCCATCAGATCTTTACTAAAGTCAATCAGATAGAATTCTAGATTGCCTTAGGCAGGTGAGGGAAGATGTTTGCTTACAAAATATGAAGCTGGTGCTGAGCCGTAGCTCTCTGCCAGTACAGAACTAACAACTGAATATACAGAGACACACTAGAACATGCTGTCCATTAACTATCCCGCTGAAGCTACAACTCTGGTATTGATTTTGCTTTCCCCTCTGTTCCAGCATACTTTTTCTTCAAATAAGCATAAAAAATTCACACTCAGTGACTACATGACAACAGGTAGCCTGAGACCACTATGATTTTTCAAGACAGATAACTTAAGTGAGATAAGGCCACACTAAATTGTCCTATAAAATAATGAGCTCTTCACTTTAAGTAAAATTTTTCATGTTAGACCTGGGCTTCTAAAACAAGAAAAGCATTTTCTCATCTTGATTTTACGGCTCATTTCCAAAAAATGAAGAAAAAGAGCAGTGGTTTTCTGCCTGAACATGGTTCACATATGGAGATAAAAATGAAAGGAAATTATGTAAGACTCTGAGAAGAGCTTTCCTTTGGTCCCAAAGGAATGACACATTTTTGTTGCATGGATCCATCTTCCAGGAAGTTCCACAGAAAGCAAAGAGGAGTCCCTTCCAACCTGGGTCTTTTGCCCAGCATTCAAAAATTTTTTTAATTTTTATTTATTTATTCTTTATTATAACTTATTCAATTTGTAGCCCTGCTGTAGCCCCTCACTCATCTCCTCCCAGTTTCACCCTCCTTCCCTCTTCTCCTCCTATGCCCCTCCCCTAGCCCCCTGATAGGGAATTTCACCTTACACCTATCAGAATGGCTAAGATCAAAAACTCAACTGACAAAACATGCTGGAGGGGATGTAGAGAAAGTATAACCCTCCTCCATTACTGGTGGGAATGTAAACTTATACAACCACTTTGGCGCTTTCTCAAAATTTCTTATGGTTCACTGTAGATAACCCTCTTATCTGAGGAAACATACAGCAGAGCCTTTATCCCATCCTGTGCTGAGAAATAATCTTTGAAAATGACTACTGGGAAGATGTTGGGTGCCTAGTTGGTTAGTATATCATATCATCAAACATCTGACTCTCCCCTTTGATATCAAAGAGAAAAGCATCAGCTCAAACCAACTGCTCACATCACTGACATTCCTTAGAAAACCATCACTATTTTTATTACCACAACTATAATGGTCTTCATCTTTATTCCATTTGTTGTTTCCTAAAATGTCAAGTGCTGTTCTAAGCAGAAATAATTTCTTATCTGTTATAGAACATCTTCATAATATCAATACTATTTTAAAATCAGAGGGGAAAATCAGAAAGGAACTCATAGGCCATTAAGCAGTCACATGGAGTAAGACATGGGTAAAACTCTCATGTAGGTAGTTTTATCCCTCTTCTATTTTGCACTGCTTTACAACAGGAAACTGTCCTGGCCTCCTGCCACAAGGACCATGGAGTCTGCGTGATTATTGGAGCAATAGCGTCTTGGGTTTCACTCAACCTCAATAGCCAGTTGTTCTTCTCAGGACGTACTCTGAAAGGGTCTGCTTTGGGAGGTATGTATGGTAGCAATATCAAATAGTGGAAATAGGAGATAGAATGAGTAAATTTTTAAAAATGGGTGAGAAGTGCCTAAGAAAAGACATCAATCAATTCTGTTTTACAGTTTTTGTTTCAACTTTTTAAAACACACATTCAGAGTGGATATTAGCTATATCATCTGTCTTTCTGTAAGCTTTATATTTTATCTTCAAAGACAGATAAAAAATTTTAATTGACTGTAAAACAACAACCAAAAAAACCCAAACAAACAACAAAACAGTGTTTATGTCAGTGGTTCTCAAGATGCGCACATCAAGTGTTGAAGCCCTAGATTCAAAACTACCCAAGCTTCAACAGGATTGAAATCAATAGCTGTACTCCAGTTGAGTTACATGAATGAATACTGGGATTCCTTCAGGTATATGTTCAACTATTTGTAGTCATTGTCAAAGCAGTATAATCTTATCCCACATGAATGAGTTGTCATTGTATCAACTCAATGGTCTTAAAAAATGATGCATTCACAATTGTCAAGAAATACTACCAAAAAGGAGGTACTTTAATAACAAGCAAATGCAAATTTTCTTACCCTGAGAAATAAGTATTTTAATGGAATCCTTTACTTGCCACTGTTAAAACATAGGACTTTAGAAGACTTTTATTTATTTACATTTTTCTTTTGGTTTTCAAGACAGGGTTTCTCTGAGTAACCACGGCTGTCCTGAAACTCACTCTGTAGAGCAGGCTGGCCTTGAACTCAGAGTTTCATCTGCCTCTGCCTCCTGTATTTAAAAAGTAGAAAATAAATGAAATTATGTGTTCCTGCCTAGGCCTCTGAGCTCATCTGAAAGCAACCAGATAGGTTTTTTGGTGTTTTTAGTTTTTTGGTTTTTTTTAGTTTTTAATGTTTATTTATTTTTTTGCCTGCATGTAAGTCTGTACAGCACTTGAGTGTCTGGTGCCCACAGAGAACAGAAAAGGGTATCTGGTCCTCTGAACTGGGAGTTGTAGATAGTTGTGAGCTATCTTATGAGTGCTGGAAATCAAACCTGGTTCCTCTGGAAGAGCAGCTGGTACTTTTAAATACCGAGCCATCTCTCTAGGCCACAATCTGATTTTTAAGAAGACTCTAAGTAATGTGAGTTCTTTAACAAAAACATGAAGTTAAGAGGTTTGCTGAGCACTGGGAACTGTGATCTTCAAGCTATCAGTGGCAATGGATTGTCAGACGTTAAGAGTCTTACCCACTTCATTTATACAGTGAACAAATGGCAAGACCTCTAAGGGGTAAGTTGTAATTCAGCTGAAGACTGTAGTTCCAGATCTTCTATTTGTACCTCTGGATATACACAATTGCTGTTTCTTTATGCTGTGTTCATACATAAGGTGTTCTTTCAAAATATGTATTCCAACTAAGCTTTGTAAAAATACATCATGTTATCTTAACACTCATAAACCAATTCCTTAACTACTTAAATATTCATTCAGTGATGATCATTAATGAAATTAATTCTTCCTACACAGAGTATAGACCTCTGGTTTTACAGTTTCCAATCAAGAGTGTTGTTTATGTTGGGTAGACAGATCTCCTAACCTCCTACAGTGAAGAACTTCCCCCAATTAAAATCTCATTAGTGCCCTCCAGGAGGACTTGTTTTGTTCTGGAGAAACACTGCCCAATTTTGTCTATGTACATGGAACCTTCATTCTTTATTCATTTCACTTTATTTTAGTGTATGTATGTGTAAGGGGGTGGTACATGCATGCCTCAGTGCATACGTGGTGGTCAAAGGACAATTTTGTGGAGTAAGTTCTTCATCCACCTTTAAAGGCTTCCAGAAATCCAACTTACTTCTCCAGGCTTTCACCACAAGCACTGCTACCCACTGAGCCATCTCCCCTGCCCAGTGCCTTTATTAATGTTTTTCCACTGAAATAATGAATAACAGCAAAAGCAGTTTTTTAAATACATTAAAAAAAATGCTTCATTAGGTCACCAAGAAAAACAAGAAGAAAAATAGATGAGACTCAGAGGCTGCAACGAACAACACTAGTTAGAATTTGTGGTTACATATAGAAAAGTTAACTTTAAAAATACATCTTTTTACATAGAATTCCATTCACTCTGCCCATCAGTTGGCCATCAGGCTCAGCATCTGCTTTGACAGTCTATACTGCAGAAGCTTTCAGAGGCCCTCTGTGGCAGGTTTCAAGGTTGTTTCCTGTTTTCTTCTGGCTTTCAGAGGCCCTCTGTAGCAGGTTCCGAGGTTGTGTAAGAAGTGGGAAATAGTAAGAGCTGGAGGGGACAGGAACTCCACAAGGAGAGCAACAGAACAAGATAATTTGAACACAGGGAACTTCCCAGAGACTCATACTCCAACCAAGGACTATTCGTGGAGATGACCTGGAACCCCTGCACAGGTGTAGCCCATGGCAGTTCAGTGTCCAAGTGGGTTACATAGTAATGGGAAGAGGGACTGCCTCTGACATAATCTGATTGGCCTGTTCGTTGATCACTTCCCCCTGAGGGGGGAGCAGCCTTATCAGGCCACAGTAGAGGACAATGCAGCCACTTTTGATGAGAACTGATAGACTAAGATCAGAAAGAAGAGGAGAACCTCCCCTATCAGTGGACTTGGGGAGTGGCATGCATGCAGAAAGGGGAGGGAGGGTGGGATCGGGAGGGGAGGAGGGAGGGGCTTATGGGGGGATACAAAATGAATAAAGTGTAATTAATAAAAAATTTAAAAAAATACATCTTTTTGAGAATAGGCAAAAAGGATAGAGAACCCAACATTAATTGGAATGAAAAAAAGCAAGCATGGGGGTTGCAAAGATGGCTCAGCAGTTACAAGGATGTATGTTACAAAGGGCCAGAGTTCCAAAAACCTACAGGATCAAAAGATCCAATGTCTCTGATCTGCTAGGGTACCTGCACACACGTACACATGCGCAAATGCATTCAAGCACACATATACATATAAACAGACATATACACACAGATGCATATGAACAAACATACACACGTATACATAATTCACAATATTAATAAAAACGAATCATTTCTCTCATAGACTATGTTGTACTATTGAACACATCTTTATTTTAATTATTTATTTATTTTTATTTGTGTGGATGTTTTGCTAGCATGTATGTCTGTACCCTCCACATGTCTTGTGTCCATAGAAGCCAGATGAAGATGTCAAATGCCCTGGAACCAGAGTTACAGACAGTTGTAAACTGCCATGTGGGTAGAAGAAGCAGTACCCAGGCTCTCTGGCATATCATCCAGGGCTCTAACTACTGAGCCACCTCTCAAGTTTTATCTTTTTTTTTTTTTTAATCAAGCAGCTGCCAAAATCCTATTCCAAAGTTGTAAGCAGAGGGTACTAGGCAGGGTAGAGATTACACCCTTCAGGTATGCCATGTTCAGCTCTACCATAGAGAAAGCTGGACATTTCTGGATAGTAAGACCAAGGTACTTAGCATAATGCAAAACATATATATTATTTGAAACCTAGGAGAACAGAAAAAATGCATTGCAAGGTTTGTGTTGCTTTAGTTAGCCTCATCTTTCTTTTGTCACCTTTATTCTCAGAGGACACATTTTAGTAATTCATACACATTAATTTTTTGCCTCTCTAAGATTGCTGCCATGATGTTCTTCTCTTCCCACAGATTATTTGGTTTGTTCATGAAGCTGCATGTCAAAACACACAAGCACAGATGTGTATATACACACAAATGTATACACACTCTTGCTCACACGGGTAAAGAGATTTAGCCATTTCTATGTTTTCAGAGAGTGTAGTGCTAAAGACCAAAGCTAGAGTTCATGCACATGGCTACATGTTCTCCCACCTGGACTTCTTCTCCATCCCCTATTTCTAACCTTTTAAATCATTCAGGGCACACATCCCAAGACTGTGACATTCATTATACATTCAATTTGAATTGGCTGATCTACAGATTACAACACAAGAACATCACAAGATGAGACTTATGTTCTACTGGCTTTGAATCACTTCCTCTGTCAGAGGCAGCAGCAGTCCCTTGAAGGAGAACAACCCTGTGTGTTGGCTGAATGGTTGGAATAGTGCTTATCCTGACTGGGGCAAGTGGATAGGACAGAAAACATCTCTAGCAGTTTAACATGGCCTTTCTTCCTTCCTGCCTTCCTTCATTTCTTTTCCTTATTTTAATCTCTTTTTGAGATTAAAAATTAATTAATTTGAGAATTTTATACATGTATATATGATATTGTCCAATCTACACCCCATTCCCATCATGACCTTTCTTTTATATTGAAGCCTCATGGGAGGAATCCTCATAAATCTGTGCTATTTTGTGTATCTGCAGGCTGGAAACCCAAAGAGGAAATCCCCAAGCTGGTTTCTGACTACATGGCAAAGAAGTTTGACCTAGAGCCACTGATTACCCAAACCCTGACTCTCAATAAGATCAATGAGGCAGTTCAGCTAATGAAAAACGGGCAATGGTAAATCATTCATGTCATTTTTATCTATATGTGGATGTGGGGACAAAACAGTTGTCATTGCTACAGTCACTGCACAGACAAAGAATCTGTCAGGAGGTCAGAGCCTACCCTTGCCCTCTGAATTTTGCTTTATTCCTGACTTATAAAATACATGATCCTAGAAGTATTAAGGTAGCAGATATCTTTTTAAATTATTTTTCTATACAACATGGAACTACAGATGTCATCCTATAAAGTTACAGAACACAGTTTAGGAACACAGTTTACAGAGCTGGAGAAATGACTCTGCGGGTAAACACCTTGCCACAAAGATGAGCACCCTGGGCTTAGTCCCCGGAACCCATGAAGATGGGAGGAGAGAACTGCCCACAGTGGTCCTCTGCATGCCTCATGCACACCTCTCACGCACACCTTGGCTCATGTGAATCCTCCACTCCTCCCTCATAATAATAAGATAAAATTTGTAGAGAGACACTGAACCCATTTTACAAAAAGGCCATTGTTGTTATTTTCACTGTTTGTTTCTTTCTGGACAGTGTCTATAAGAGATCTAATTCTGACACCTCCTCAATCTCCCTTGCAGAAATTAACCATACATGACATCAGCACTTCTCACAGTTTGAAGTTCCTTAGCTACTTCATTACCCTGAGAACTGCATGTTACTTTGTTCATTTTTCTCCCAGGTTGTTAACCTGCTCATTTTTGACCCAACATCAAAGGAAGAGACTAACTTATAAGTCTAAAACACAAGAATTTGAATATAAAACACAAGGTGCTTCAAAACATTCTCAATGTTTTCTTTTACTTTTTTTCCTTTTTTAGTATCCGCTGTGTCTTGCTCCCGTAATTAGAGGATCTCCAGCATTTCATCACTAATTTGTATTCTGTATGTACCATTATTTAGAAGACTCAGCCACACAACACTTTTCTATTTTCTTGCCTTTGATTCACTCAGCTACAATCTTGTAAGAGGCTTCTCACCTACCGCACACATCACAATTATTCTCACGTGACCCAGTACAATGCAGGACCAGCCTCCCTTTTGTAGCTATGTTAGAACAGCAGATTTGAGTCACCCAGTAGCAGATTCTGCATATGAAAACATAGCTGATGAGGTCCCTACCTATAGACCTATGTCTCCTCAACCACTGGATCTTTCCCACACTGTATGGGTCCACACATGAAGCTCTGTGCATTGTCTACAAGATGCAAAATTCCTACTAGAGAAGCTACTGAAAGTGATAAACAACTGAGAAAACTTGTATGGTAATAGCAAGTTATCTAATATGGAAATCAAGAAAGAAATCTCACAGTTGATCTCACAAGTAAATTAATAACCTAGAAACAAATTTAACCAACGGTGAAAGATCTTTACAATAAAACTATAAAACACAGCAGAGGATAGTGGTATGCTTTTTTAATCCAGACTCCTTTAATCCAGATATAGTGGCCAAGGAAGCTAGACTATGTGATTTGGGGGATAGACTAGTCACAGAGCAAATTCTACATACATAACTTCATCGTGATGAGATCATGTTTCAAATATATACATGTTTAAATATATATAAATGAAAAAACATTCTTTGTTCATGAATTGACTAATTAGAAGAATCTATATTGTTAAAATGTCCATTCTATCCAGAGATATCTACAAACTCAATGAAATCTTAATAAAATATCAGTAATTCTCCTCACAGATAAAAATAGCCTTCAAGCAGGGCATGATAGTACACACCTTTACCCCAGCACTCAAGAGGCAGAGGCAGGCAGATTTCTGTGAGTTCTAGGCCAGCCTGGTCTACAATGCAAGTACAGGGCAGCCAGGCCTAATACACAGAGAAACCTTGTCTCAAAAAGCAAACAAACAAAGCCTTCAAATCTATATGATACCTCAAAAAAATGAAAAACAGGAGCCATTATACTCCAAAATACACTACTGAGTCACAATGACCAAAGCAACAAAGCTGGGCAGAAAAACAGAATCACAGAGCAATGGAACTGAAAAGACAGGCCACAAAAACTGACACATGTGCCGGGAACAGGCTAAGAAGTTGCTGAAAAGATGTATCAGAGAAAGTAAAGTCTTTTCAGTTATTGGCTCTAGGAAAATTAGATATGGAAAATAAGATATTTTTCCACATGGAAAGAAATAAAGCTAGACTTCCCTCTTTCTCTTGAGCCAGTTACAAAAATGAACTCTAAGCATACTGGAGTCTCCAATGTAAAGACTGAAACTATTAAACTATATAAGAGAACATAGGGAAACAGTTCTGGACCTTGAAATGGGCAAGGAACTGTTGGACAACACCCAATACATACAGAAAACAAAAGCAAAATAAGACAAATGGGATTACAGCCATCCAAAAAGCTCCTGCACAGCAGGGAGCTGTCATAGAGCGAGCAGGTGGCATGCAATCACGTGCAGTTCCGGAGTATAGTAATAAGTGCTGTGTGCTGTCAACAGTTGTAAGGTGAGGAGAGATGGCACACTGTGTGTACCGGAAGAAAGGCTTCTGAGTGCTGCCCTCATAAAGAAACCATTTCTCAGGGGTGATACAACATCCCATGACTTTATGCTTTCTACATCAGTTAAAAATAAACTGAAAACACTGAAGAGATGGCTCAGTGATTAGGAGCACTAGCTGTTGTTTCTGATGACCCAGGTTCAGTTCCAAACACCCATATGGCAGCTCACAATCTATAACTCCAGCTCCAGGGATCCAGTGCCCTCTTCTGGTTGCCATGGATTTTTGCATTACACAGTATACAGACATAAATGCAGGTAAAACATCCATACACATGAAACAAAAAATTCTATGCTTTTAATAATAGAAATAAAATACATTAATTTTTAAATGAAATAAAGCTCCCTGTCTTAGTTACTTCTGTTGCTCTGATAAGAAACTGTAACCAAGGCAACTGAGAAAAGAAAGTGTTTTATCTGGGCTTAAAGTTTCAGATTACAGTAAAGAAATATAATTATTTAAAATAAAACTTCTGGGGCTGGAGAGATGGTTCAGCAGTTAAGAGTAAATGCTGCATTTGCAGCAGATCTGAGCTCAGGTCCTAGCACCCACAACACGGCTCACCACCACCTGTAACCCCAGATCCTGGGGTGCCTGCAATTTTTGCAGGCATCAGAACTCACATGCAACACACACACACACACACACACACACACACACACACACACACACACACCTACAAATAAATCCTTTAGAATATGAAACATCCCACTAATAAATTTATTGAAGACTCGAGTTAACCTGAAACAGATTAGCTCAGCCTTAGCCCATTTGTCTCCTCTCTCTTCTCTCTCCTGTATTAACAAAAAACTTCAACCCTCTTCAGGAAGGTTAGCTTTTGGAAGCTCCAATTTCTCAGAATTCAGAAAAAGAAGAAAGAAAAAAGAGAGAAAGAGAGAAGGAAAGAAAGAAAAGGGGGCTAGTGAGTAGAGCCTTGTCATTTATTGGGTTCACACCCTGAAAAGATGGTTACAGAAGTTTCCTATTTCACACTCCTAGGAAAGAGACAATGAAGGTTCAGTCTGTTATGAATGTGCCCTATAGACGTGTTTCCTCTGAGAAGCAGCTAAGAGGCTTACAGCACTGAGGAGTGATTGTGACATCTGACCCTCTCTTGGCCCTTTGACTCTGCACCAGTCCCTCTTTCTCTCCTAGAACTAGGATTAAAGTTGACAGCTGTCTTAGGGTGGGACTTCCTCCCTTATTCTCTACATATAACAAATATCCTAGCAACCCCTGACCCCAATCCACAGAACAGAACTGCCCTTTCTGCTAAGAGACTTCCCTAGCATGAGTTCTGCCAGATTCAGGTCTACTAGATCAGACAGTGTGGTTAGCACTGGGAGACCTAAGCCAAGTAGCTTTGTCATTCAGGACTGGTCAGGAAGCAAGAACATTCCAGTCCTGCCTACCCACTGTGCTTATCTCCGGATGTAGCAGAGTTTTGGGAACTGATTCCCCAGCTGAGAAGAAGCACCATGAGGTGAGCATCTGCCTTCTCCTTTGAGATACCTGCTCCCTGTACACAGGGAGAGAGGCACTATCAAACCTATTCACTCTGGATGAAAGAGGCATCTTCTCCTCTTCCCAAGTCAGAGCTGGAAGTCTACGCCTACTGCCTCTGCCTTTCATTTCAAACCATCTTCCTGCCTGCTCTACCCCCAAATCAGCCTTCAGTAACAGCGTGAACTTGGTGGAACCTCATCATGTCAAAAAGTCGGTTTTTCAGACAGGAGTTAATAAAGATCAATTCTCAAGCTACTTTGTATATCTCTTTACAATGTTTTCCCTATTCGGAGGCAGACATTCACTGTGTAGCCCAGGCTGGCCTCAGCCTATAATTCTCCTGTCACAGTCATTCCTGTGCTGAGGTTACAGCTGACTCTGCTTGTTAATGACTCTTTACACACCTATTTGTGCTAGAGCTCATTGGAAACTTCTAATTTTACCACAGAGGCAGCATGCCTACCTTCTTCCTGGGAATACCCCATAGTTGGCTCTGTCTCCCACCAGCCCACAAAGTCAGGAGGGGCATCGGACCAGAAGCGTGTCTGGAATGGTCGGCAGCCACTGTATCGAGATCACACACTCTGGGAACCACTGCAGGGAGATAGTTCAACTTTAATTCCAGAGAACAAAGGCTATGTACCCCTATATACTCCAAGGATAGGTGTACATAATTGTTGGAAGCTAGGCACTTCAAGGATGCTTGATTTACCTTCAACAACATGCTCTTATCATATGAATGAGAACACAGTACCTAATTATCCTATAGAAGCAGGGAGGGGAGAACTAGCAGGGAGTTGTGTCAGAGGCCATATATCAAATGAATCTTGGGGCATCTGTGTCTAAAGACACTCTCCAAATGAAGTCGGGCAGGGAGCAAGAGGCCCTGCTGAGGAAAGGGAGTCCTGCACCTTATCGCTGAGCTCAGAATGGCTAGCCAGACTAGAACTACAACCTCAAACAGCAGGGTTCCTCCCACACCCCATCAAATATATTACACAAGCAATGTCTCTCTACATCCGTCCATCACTGTTCACGGGGTTGCTAGCTGAAGTTCACAGTTAATTTCCAAGGTATGGTCATATAAATCTGTGGCCATCCTCTAGGCACCACCACTTCAGCCATAATTAATGATCCTGTCCCAACCACAAAGCAAAAGACATCTTTGCAATCTCTAGGCACAGTGCTTCCCTGGATAGTGACTGCATAGGATAGTTTATGAGCTCTACCAAAACTTGCCTAATCCCAGACCTACACTATATAAGCAGGTATCCAGCTTCCAAATCCATTGTGCCTGAATCATGCAAAGTTTTGAGTCTCTTCTAGTTTTTATCTGAAAGAATAGTTATATCATTAGCTCTCACTCGTATGAAAATGAAGCATAGGTAGAAATATAGAGGCCCTCTTCTGAAATGGAGTAAGGAGGCCCAAGCCCAGCGATGGCACCACATTCACATGCACTGGATATTGCTAATGTTTCCTAAGAACTTGAAAGGGACAGCCATCAGCTTCTACATAGTCACAAGGAATCCATTATATTGGTGTGTGAAAATATTAATTTTAATTTTATTGGAAAGAAATTCTTTTCTCATACAATATATCCTGATGATAGTTTTCCCTCACTCCCAGATCCTCCCCACCTCCTCTCCTCTCTGCATCAACTCCCTTTCTGTCTCTCATTAAAAAAGAACAGGCTGCTAATATACAACAACAAAACATGACAAAATAAAATATAATATGATGAAGAAAAAAACTATAGTATCAAAATTGGACATGGCAATCTAACAGGAGGAGTCCATAAAAAATGCTAATCTAGCAGCTATAATCTCTACGCTGGGGACCTGTGCTTGCCGCTTTAGTCTAAGAACTCATATGCACTTTGCTTAGTTGATTCAGAGGGTCTTATTCTCTTGGTGTCCTCCATCCCCTCTGACTCCTACATTCTTTCTGCCTTCTCTTCTGTGGGATTCCTTGAGCTCAGAGGAAAGGGATTTGATGGGCCCCTCCAATTTAGACTCTCGCCCTACATAATGCCTGGCTGAAGGTCTCTGTATCTGCTCCCATCTGCTGCTGGAGAAAGCCTCTCTGATGATGACTGGGCTAAGGCATTGATCTGTGAGTATATCAAAATATCATTAAAAATCATTTTTCTTTTATTTTTATTTTTATTAATTACAGTTTATTCACTTTGTATCCCCCCCCTCTAGCTCCCTCCCTTCTCCCCTCCCAATCCCACTCTCCTTCCCCTTCTCCACCCATGTCCCTCCCCAAGTCCACTGATAGGGAAGGCCCCCTTCTTCTTCCTCCTGATCCTAGTCTATCAGGTCTCATCAGGAGTGGCTACATTGTCTTCCTCTGTGGCCTGGTATGGCTGCTAACCTCCTCAGGGGGAGGTGATCAAAGAGCAGGCCAATCAGTTCACGTCAGAGACAGTCCCTGTTCCCATTACTATGGAACCCACTTGGACACCGAACTGCCATGGGCTACATCTGTGCAGGGGTTCTGGGTTATCTCCATGCATGCTACTTGGTTGAAGTATCGGTCTCAGAAAAGACCCCCGTGCCCAGATTTTTTGGTTCTATTGCTCTCCTTGTGGAGCTCCTGTCCTCTCCAGGTCTTACTATCTCCCCCTTCTTTTATAAGATTCCCTGCACTCCACCCAAAGTTTGGCTCTAAGTCTCAGCATCTGCTCTGATACTCTGCTGGGTAGAGCCTTTCAGAGGCCCTCTGTGGTAGGCACCTGTCCTGTTTTCTCCCTCTTCTGATATTCATCCTGTTTGCTTTTCTGAATGGGGATTGAGCAACTTAGCCAGAGTCCTCCTTTTTGATTAGTTTCTTTAGGTGTACAGATTTTAATATGTTTATTCCATATTATATGTCTAATATCCACTTATGAGTGAGTATATACCCTGTGTGTCATGTCATTCTCATTCTGGGATACCTCACTCAGGATGATCTTTTCCATGTTTTCTATTGCTGAGTAATATTCCATTGTGTAACAACCCAAATGCCCCTCGGCTGAGGAATGGATACAGAAATTGTGGCACATCTACATAAAAATCATTTTAAAGGTTTTTTGTTGTTGTTGTTTTGTGTTTTGAGACAGGGTTTCTCTGTGTAACAAGCCCTGGCTTGCCTTGAACTCACAGAAATCCACCTGCCTCTGCCTCTCAAGTGCTGGGGTTAAAGGTGTTCACCACCTCGCTTGTCTAGAAATCATTTTATTGGTTTTGTTTGTTTTTTCTTTTTCTTTTCCTTTTTTACCAAAAGTGTTTGGTTTTACTCTAGGTTTCTGAGCTATTTAGCCTCTGGTTCTTGGTTACCTAAGCGGTATCTGGTGTGAGTTCCTTCTGGTGGAGAGGGCCTTAGGTCTCATCAGACATTGGCTGGTTACTCCCACAAGTCAGTGCCACCAATGCCCTAGCATATTCTGTAGGCAGGACAGATCGTAGCTCAGAGGTTCTGCGGCTAGGTTGGTGTCCATGCTTCTTTTTCAGTAGCATACAACGTACCTTCCCACACCAAAGAAATGAGAAAGTAGAGGTGAGGGCTCCTTTCAGGCAGCAGCTCAGTGAGTTATGTGAAAGTTACCCGCAACAATGGGATCCCACTGTCCGTCTGCAGAGAGCAAGATTTTGTCTTAGCATACAGCCTGCAGTTTGTTGGGAGACCCTTGGCCAACACTCAACTGAATGTAAGTCCCTCCACTAGAAGCCTCAAAAGATGGGGGGGAGATTATAAAAAACCATTCAGAGTAGCTTCGAGAACTGGGCTTTATTAACGTATTTCTGGGAAATTGTGACTTTCCAACATGTTGAGGTTCCTCCAAGTGTGTGAAGGTTTAATATTTCACCTTCACACATTCAGTTTCCTATTAAATGTTGTAAATTAATGTTTGCATTCCCCCTACTGGTGGCATTTATCATTAACCTACACTGTAACTTCATAACATGTTTACTGCTCTCAACTATCTCTTTCCAACCTCCTTCACAAGTCAGACAACACACACCAGAATGACCAGCATGGTCCTAAAGCAGTCCACTAGCTCTTCTTTGTCTTTTCAGTGAGCTTCAATAGTCAGTGAACTAATAACTCTAACAATTTATTAACCTATATACTGTGAGACTGGAACAGTGCAACATCTAAGGAAAGATAGACAAATAATTAAAATACAGTACAAAAAGCATTATTACAGAGGAATAAGCAGCCAGCAAGCCAGAGGTAAAATTCTTCCTGCCCATAGGACAAGAGAACACTCAGAGACCAGTAGCTGAGCCTCAGTGGGTACAATGGGTTCTGCCAAGCGGGAAGAGCAGTTTACATGGAGAGTGGTGATACTGTTCTGTGATGCACCTTAGGTAGCAGCACTGGGAGAGAACCCAGTGAAGATGGAGTTGACCTCTCGAGGCCTTTCGGTGCCCTGAGAGGGAACTTGGAAGCAGAGTCTCCTTAAGATAAGCCTTGAGATAACTACAGCTCTGGTCAGCACATGTGAAGGGGACATCCCAGACTCATGACCAACAGAAACTTTGAGAACACATTTGTGTTCTATCTGTCAAGCAGTAAGTTGCTGACACACATGTGCTAATTCAGGGGCAGTTGTTCCCCTGGCATGCTCTTGTAGCACATTCCTGTAAGAGTCTCCCTCTGGTGAACTGGGAGGGAAGCTGATCACAGGGCATGTGCTGCCTTGTGCAGTATCACTGGCACTCAGGAGAAAAGATACCATGACAACTACAAAGAACTGAGCTTAGACATTACTGAGCGCTTTCAGTACATGAGGGTATGAGACTGGTGGGCTTGAGTCAGCCAATTACTGAGAGCATGTGTGACTGAGTGCCATACGTCTCTATGGCAGCACTTAAGTTTCCTTTATCTCCCATAATTAGGAGATTTGAACTGAAAATCAAGCCTAGGGTTTGGCTGTGAGATTATCCAAATTGCAGACTTTTAATTCATAGTCCCAATTAGTCTCTAAGACTAAATTCAGAGCCCTGATGAAGAAAAGGTGGATCTTAAGACTGAAATGAGAATATCTTGAAAACTTGAACTATAGATTGTCCTGGACCTTTCTAGTTTGAACTGGTGGCCCATTGAGCACATGCCTAAAGAATTCAAAGTCAGCATATGGTAGGGATCCCTAAGGCCCCTTTTTATTGCTGTGCTGTCCTAGTTACCATTTACTACTGGGAAGACACACCATGATCAATTGGAGGCTTGCTTACAGTTTCATGTTAGTCCATGATCATCATGGCAGGAAGAGACAGACATGGTACAAGAACATCAGCTTTCACACTAATCTACAGGCAGTAGGCAGGGAGAGAGACACTGGACTGCCATGGGCTTCTGAAACTTCAAAGCCTACAGTAGCATGCCTCCTCCAACAAGGCCACAACCATCTAATCCTTCTTAAGCAGTTTCCACAAATGGTAACTAAGTATTCAAATATATGAGGCTATGTAAGCCACTATCATTCAAATCACCACCTGCACTATGCACAACCAAGCTATAGAACCAACCTATAAAATTTGTACATATACCCAGTGAGGGTTCTGTCAGCCATAAGAATGAAATTGTCATTTGAAGAAAAATGG